GTTTGAAACCAGCCTGGCTAACATGGTGAAACCCTGTCTCTACTAAAAATACAAAATTTAGCTGGGTGTAGTGGTGCACGCCTATGATCCCAGCTACTCGGAGGCTGAGGCAGAATTTCTTGAACCCAGGAGGTGGAGGTTGCAGTTAGCTGAGACTGCACCACTGCACTCCAGACTGGGCGAGAGAACCAGGCTCTGTTTCCAAAATAAAATAAAATAAAATAAAAATAGGCTGGGCGCGGTGGCTCACGCCTGTAATCCTAGCACTTTGGGAGGCCGCGGTGGGTGGATCACCTGAGGTCAGGAGTTCAAGACCAGTCTGGCCATCATGGTGAAATCCCATCTTAAAAAAAAAACAAAATAAAATAAATATAAATAAATAAAGCACCCAAGAAAAATCATCCCCATAGCCTTCCTTTTTTTACCCCCACGAGACAGGATCTCACTGTGGCACCCAGGCTGAAGTGCAGTGGCATAATCACAGTTCACTGCAGCCTCAATCTCAAGCAATCCTCCCACCTCTGCCTCTCAAATAGCTGGGATAACAGGCATGTGCCAACACACGCTGCTAAATTTTTTTTAATTTGTGGAGACAGGGTCTCCCTATGTTGTCCAGGGTAGTCTCAAACTCCTGCCCCATAGTCTTTTCTTAAAAATAGAAAATTGGCTATTTCTGGTTTTAAGATTTACTGAGTTCTTGAATGTATACACATATTTTCAACTTGCTCATTTTCTCCCCTTTATCAAGAGCAGTGGCAGGAATAAAATATATTTTCATGGTATTTCTTGCTAATAGGAAGCCTTTAAGCAGAGCATACACTTTGCTGTTGTCCAGTACAGTAGCCATTAGCCATATGTGGTTACATTTTAATTCAATGATAGTAAATTAAATTGAACAATCAGTTCCCTACTCCCACTAGCCACATTCAAGTGTCCAATAGCCACATGTGGCTGGTGGCTACCATGCTGGACACCACAGAACCTTCCCATCACTGCGGAAAGTTCTAAACAGTGCCATTCTAGAGGCCACAGGTACCAGCACCCCCTCCTACCTTACTCTTGGTCAGCTCACACATCCACAACACCCAACTAACTATAGGGAGGCATCTGAATTTGTTTCAGCCAGTTTGTCTAGACCCCAGAGAATCTAGTCCAAATTCCTTACTAGGATGTGTGAGGCCTGCTGTAAGTTCGCCCCTGCCTTTCCTCATCTACCCGTGGAACACTGCCTGAAATTCCTTGGCCCACTCAACTTTGGTTTACCTTCCTTTGTCTCCACATCCATCCCTGCTCCTCCTTCTCCACTCTCTTAACACCCCCTTCATAACAAAGCTCATGGAAGCTACTTCCACTATTGGCCCTGCTCGCCTAGTGCTGATGATCCATTCCCTTGGGCTGACTGGGTCCTGCATACATGTCATGATATTGCCACTGTTTACATGTCTTTCAGCCCCCACTAGACTGTGAGCCTCTTGGCACCCAGTCTGTTGAATGTTGTTAAACAATAGGATGACACACTGAGTGCCAGTCTGTTCAGGCTGCTGCAATAGAATACCAGAGTGGGCGGCTTCAACAACAGACATTTCTTTTCTCACAGTTCTGGAGACTGAAAGCTCAAGATCAAGGTGCCAGAGGGTTCACTTCTGATGAAGCCTCTCTCCTTGACTTTGCAGACAGCTGCCTTCTCACTGTCTTCACATATGCACACATATCCCTGGTGTCTCTTCCTATTCTTATAAAGATACCAGTCCAACTAGATGAGGGCCCATGCCCTTGACCTCATTTGACCTTAAATATCTCCTTAAGGTGCTATCTTCAAATACAATCCACTGGGGTTAGGGCTTCAACATACCAACTATTGTGTCCTTTTGTTTCAGAGACTTAAGGTTTCTTTACTAAAGATACTGCAGAAAAAGTTCTGAAATCTGAAAGGGTATAAAAGTTCTTTTTCTGCTGTTTCCAAAATGGTACTGTTAAATTATGAACAGTTCACTGTAGAAAGAAGACAACAAAGGATTTCTTTCCTTACAACTGATTAATACAAAGTCTAAAAGGAAACCGCCACATGATCACGGTCCCCCTGCTATAATTTTAGCGGCTGCCTTCAAGAACACAGGAAATCTTAAGAACAGATGCTGCCCGGGTAGCACAGAATTGCTTGAACCAGGACCTGGGAGGCAGAGGTTGCAATGAGCCGAGATCGCACCACCGCATTCCAGCCTCAGCGACAGAGAGACTCTGTCTCAAAAAAAAAAAAAGGGAAGGGAAACTCTTCGGTACGTTACTCTAAGTGATTATTTACCAATACACATTAGAAGTAACAGTTATTTTAAAGTGATATGTCTTCACTGATTACACTGTTTTTTTCTTTGCCAAGCAGTTTATGATTTCCTAGTCTTTTTAACAGGCAAGTGCAATATTGAAAATGTCAACTAATTTAATGGTGTAATGACTGAACCACAAAGATTATGTTAGTCCTACCCAAAAGCAAGCTCACTGCACAGCAAAAATTAGTCTTAAAAGACTTACTGGGGCTGGGCGCAGTGGCTCACGCCTGTAATCCAAACACTTTGGAGGCCAAAGCTGGGCAGATCACCTGAGGTTGGAAGTTCAAAACCAGCCTCATCAACATGGTGAAACCTCGTCTTTATATTTACAAAGAAAAAAGAAAAAAAGATTTACTAGGAAGCTGATAGTGAAGGAGGCTATACACGTATAAGGGTAGGAGGAATATGGGATAGTTCTGTACCTCTCTCTCAATTTTGCTGTGAACATAAAACTGCTCTTAAAAACTCTGTAAAGGCTGGGCACAGTGGCTTACGCCTATAATCCCAGCAATTTGGGAGGCCAAGGTGAGTGAATCACAAGGTCAGGAGTTTGAGACCAGCCTGGCCAACATGGCTAAACCTTGTCTTTACTAAAAATATAAAAATTAGCCGGGCGTGATCGCTACGATCTCAGCTTGCTGTGATCTCTGCCTCCCGGGTTCAAGCCATTCTCCTGCCTCAGCCTCCCGAGTAGCTGGGATTACAGGCATGCACCACCACACCTGACAAATTTTGTATTTTTAGTAAAGATGAGGCTTCTCCATGTTGATCAGACTGGTCTGAAACTCTCAACCTCAGGTGATCTGCCCAGCTCAGCCTCCCAAAATACTGGGATTACAGGGTTGAGCCACCGTACCCAGCCAATTTTTTGTATTTTTAGTAGAGAGGGGGTTTCATCATGTTGGCCAGGCTGGTCTCAAACTCCTGACCTCAGGTGATTCACCCATCTTGGCTTCCTAAAGTGCTGAAATTACACACGTGAGCCACGGTACCCGGCCTGAATTCACTTTTATGGTAAATAAATGTGTATCACATCAGGCAAAATAATACATTAATAATACATTAAAAGATTAAATATGTGATTTCAAAAACAAAACTGCAGCTCTTGAATTTTTTTTTTTTTTTAACTTTCTAAAGACACTTATCCTGGTCCCTGACCTGCCCTGATGATGAGGGAAGCAGCCACACATGGCGAATGCTCACTGAGGACACACTACATGAAAGGGGGCACCAGGCACAGGGGTGACTCCACTCCTTCATGCTCATTTCCATGAGGACACATCATCAGACAGGCTCTGCACTCCAGCAGACCAGTGCCCCCATCTCTGAATCTCTTTCCAACTTCTAAGTCCTGGATGTACATTCAATCTACTTTGTGAGACTAAAGGTCAAAGAGGAAAAGGGAACTAAATGGCTGAGAGAGGCTGTCTTGGACTGCGCAACCCTGACACACACACACACACCCTATACACCTTTGCTGAAGGCAGGCAGGTATACTCTCCCTATAGACAGGTGTCCTTGAGACAGCATGTTTCTTAATCCCTGTCATCAAGTGCCAGGTGTGAGAAGTCAAGGCAGTTTACAGGCCTGGCCAGCGTGGAGCAGAACAGCAACGCCGCTCTCTTAAAGGTCCTTTGGACTGCTCCAGGTAGGGAAGACCAATATAAGACACAGAATTATCAACAGTATTAATACTTTGGATAATTACTATTGCAATTATTTACTGCATTCCTTAAAATAAGTGCTCCTAAAGAAAAGCAGACGGTGCTGAGTCACACAGAAGGACAGTCAGCCAGCTGGAGGAGTTGGACGTGGACAATGCACAAGCTCTGGTGCCTGAAACTCAGAGGAACAAGGCAGGTTTGGCCCCTGCTCTCAGGAAGCTTCATGATGGGTAACTAAAGAAGAGTCAGACACAGGCAACAGAATCCTGAGAACAGTGAAGCATTCAATACACCTTGACCAACAACCACGTGCCAGGTACAACCTTGAAGAACAGACTATTAATAAGGAAGACGAACATCTAAACTGACAACACCAGATAAATCAGCCCTTCTAAGGTAGGTCTAAATCAGTGACCCCCTATGGCAGTTCACATCCTCTGAAAAGCAGATGCTATCACGTGATTAGATGTGAAACAGATTTACGTGGGGAAACACCCTTGAGGGAAAACGGGGAGAGAACCAGTGGATTTTTGCCAGGGTAAGAGGAAAAGGTGGCAGGTCGGGCAGAAAAAGCCTTAGACTAAAGGCAGCACTAAGAAAGTTCCGGCCAATGGGGAGTCCTTGAGCCAAAGTTCCCATCAGGACTCCCGGGAAAGAGCCCTAGTATTCCTGTTATAGGAAGCAAACCCTCAGCTTGAGAGCAGTGTGGACCCACAGCACAAGCAATGAGGCCGTCAGTGGATTATGCCCTCATGGGCCCCTAACAAACTACTAGATGAGATGTAGGTCATCGAGCTCCACACCATTGAAAACTCTCCAGCTTAGCCTGGACTCCTGCAAGAGGACAGAAGCAACAGTGCACTCATCTTAGTCTCCTCCAAGTTTTTTCTTTCTGGTCACTTAAAGCAACAAAGACCACATTCTGATTCAATGCCTCTCTGAGGCACAGATCCATCCTGCTGATGGGTTCACTGAGTTAGAAAAACTGCTGTAAAAATAGCTAAGTATTAATCCATTTGCAGAGGATTCTTTATTTGAAACAGAATAAACACCATGTGAGGTTTTTCACTTTTATTATTCAGTAAGCATCCATTAAAGTGCCTAAAATGTACAAGGTGCTGGAGATAGAAAGATGAACAGATCGAACCTTCCTCTTGAAATGTTCCCTTTAAAATGGTATAGAAAAGACAAGCAAACAAATAATCATGAAACAAGTAACTATGATCCTACAAAAGTGATACAATTGAGTTTTAAAAGGATACAGAGCACAGGCACTTTATTCTGTGAGGGCAGGGGGAGGAAGGAGCTTTAGCAGAAGGCAGAGCCTCAAAAAGAAAGTGAAGTTTAATCTTAAATGGCAAAAGAAAGGAATTACACAGGTACAGAATAGCTGGCAATGAAGCATGTTTAAAGTTTTAGGATATTAAAATTGAAATCACTGATATTTCTTTTTTAAACCAACAAGTGATTAACCTGTAAGAACTTGTGCATATTTAATGTATAAATATTGATGAGTTTAAAGTATATCCCATGAAACCATCCCACAAACATAACCATCATCTCTAAAAGTTTCTTCTTTTTCTGTTTGTGATGAGAACATTTAACATAAAGATCTACTCTCTTAACAAATTTTTAAATATACAATACAGTATTGTTAACTATACACACTATGCTGTACAGCAGCTCTCTAGGAGTTATTCACCTTGCATAACTGAAACTATATCCCCTTTGATCAACACCTTCCAGATTCTCCCTCCACCTAAGTCCTGAATAACCACCATTTTACTCTCTGCTTCTATGAGTTTGACTGTTCTAAGTTCCTGATACAAGTGGGCTTGTGTAGGATTTGTTCTGGTGCTGATTTTCTTATTTTTATTATTATTATTATTATTTTAAACAGGGTCTCATGGAGTGTAGTGGTGCAATTTCAGGTCACTGCAGCCTCAGGTTCTCCCTGCCTCAGCCTCCCAAGCAGCTGGAATTACAGGTACTTGCCACCACATCCAGCTAATTTTTTGTATTTTTAGTAGAGACAGAGTTTTGCCATGTTGCCCAGGCTGGTCTGGAACTCCTGGCCTCAAGTTATCCACGGGCATCGGCCTTGCAGGATTGCTGGCATGAGCCACCACACCTGGCCTTAATTTTTGTATTTTTAGTAGAGATGGGGTTTCACTAAGTTAACCAGGCTGATCCTAAACTCCTGAGCTCAAATGATCTGCCCTCCTCAGCCTCCCAAAGTCTTGGGATCACAGGTGTGAGCCACCGTGCCCAGCTGGTGTGGATTTTTTTTTTTTTTTTTTTTTGAGACAGAGTCTCATTCATTGCCCAGGCTGGAGTGCAATGACACGATTTCGGCTCACCGCAACCTCCGCCTCCCGGGTTCAAGTGATTCTCCTGCCTCAGCCTCCTAAGTAGCTGGGTAAGAGGTGCCCGCCAACACGCCCAGCGAATTTTCTGTGTTTTTAGTAGAGACAGGGTTTCACTATGTTGGTTAGGCTACTTTCGAATTCCTGATCTCAGGCGATCTACCTGCCTCAGCCTCCCAAAGTGCTAGGATTACAGGCGTGAACCACCGTGCCTGGTCAGGTGCTGATCTTTTTAAATAAACTTATAAATCAAAATTTAATAAAAAGACATGTGTACTGGGATAATTTACTATAGGGAAAAAAAAAAACCAAACTCTGAAGATGGTATTCCTGAATCATGAATAATACCTTTTGTTAGTGTTACATACAAGCAACTAGTCAGTAAGTATAATTGTTAAAGATTTTCAAACATGTTTTTATGAACTGAAATACCTGATTGTCCTTATATACATAAACTGATATATTTATTAAACTAGACAATAGCTTTAAAATGTTGCAAAAAATATAAAGAGATGATGACATTCATGTCTTTCAGCTACTATGTTGTAGCTATTCAAGAGGCTGAGGCAAGAAGATCGTTTGAACCCAGGAGTACAAGGCAGCAGTGAGCTATCCTCTCATTACTGCATTCCTGCCTGGGCAACAGATTAAGACCCTATCTTTAAAACAAACAAACAAAAAATAAATGAAATTTTAAAAATATTTAACTCATTTGAAATTTTTAATAAACTGACTAGATGTTAAGGCAAATAATATTTTTTACTAAAGGTAATACATTTCTGAGAACAAAAACATTTAGTGAGAAGAGGTATTACTTTACATTTTTGCCAGTCGCTTTAACTCTGACTTCAGAGAAGACATAGGGATTCTCATGTCTGCTTCAGCATCCAATCTGTTGCACTATATAATTTTTTGGTTGAAGTCTATGAATCTAATCCATTTGAGAGATATGCAGTTGGAAAAGGGAAGGGTGTTTTCGGCAGCCTTTTCAGATCATTGTGGACATTCTTCTATAACACCCCAAAACTAGGCATGGGGTAGTCTCAAAAAAATAGTTGACAAGCGCAGTGTCTCACGTCTGTAATCCCAGCACTTTGGGAGGCGAAGGCAGGCGGATCGCGAGGTCAGGAGATCGAGACCATCCCGGCTAACACTGTGAAACCCCATCTCTACTAAAAAAAACAAAAATTAGTTGGGCGTGGTGGCACGTGCCTGTAGTCCCAGCTACTTGGGAGGCTGAGGCAGGAGAATCACTTGAACTCAGGAGGCAGAGGCTGCAGTGAGCCAAGGTCACACCACTGCACTCCAGTCTGGGCGACAGAAACACTGTCTCAAAAAAAAAAAAAGTTGTAATATAGAATCTAAAACTATATCAGTGAACTTTTCATATAATTAAAGTCCGTTGGTCTATCTTTTTAATGAATCTTTTACCATGCACCATGATGAACTGGAAAACACTAGTTCACAGAATTATGCAGATTTTCCAAATGTTGACACATTTCACTGTGTTAATAAATACTCATTTATTAACATTGCCACCAATCAAAGAAGTCCTTAATTACTGGGAAACTGTCAAGCCATGGTAGCAGATAAAATTTTTCAAAATTTTGAATTTTGCTTGAAAGCACAAATATTATCATTGGTCATAAACTGTCAGTTATTTTCCTTCATCTGTTTTCCAGAAAATGTCCACCAAATACGCAAGTCTCAATAACCGCAGCTTGTCTGCCACCCACTTCTTCAAGCAAAAATGGCATTCCACAATAAAGGTAGCTAGTTAACTTTGCAGCTCAGAATACACAACTGCTGTTTCTCAAAACAGGAACTGTACCTCTTTGTGCAGCAAAAGTGCTTCAAAGCAAAAGCATTTTGGCCTTTTAAAAAAGGCCAAAAATTTTTAAAATTAATTTTTACTGCTTCATCAGGGTATGTTTAAGTGAAATCAGCCCTTTTTGCTTTTTTTAAAACTGCAAGTGGAGAAGTAGTGAATAATACAATGACTATTAGTGCCACATGGAGTCCCTGCCTCAATTTATGTTAAAGAGCCAGCAGTTTTCCCTACCATTGCTTTTGGACCATCAGCACAAGTGTCAACACAGTAAAAATAGAAATGGCATCTTTATTATTATTATAAAAATAGTCTTCCCAGAAAGGCCTCCAGAAAGGCTCATGAGAGGTCTGTGAACCATGGTTTGAGAACTGGAAGGTCGGGCCTGGCATAGAGGCTCAAACCTGTAATTTCAGCACTTTGGGAGGCTGAGGCGGATGGATCATTTGAGGTCAGGAGTTCGAGGCCAGCCTGACCAAAATGATGAAACCTCCTCTCTACTAAATTAAAAAAAAAAAAAAAAAAATTAGCCAGGCATGGTGGCACATGCCTATAATCCAAGCTACTTGGGAGGCTGAGGCAGGAGAATCACCTGAACCCAGGAGGCAGAGGTTGCAGTAAGCTGAGATTGCACCACTGCACTCCAGCCTGGGCAACAGAGTCAAACTCCATCTCAAAAGAATAAGAATAAAATAAAGAGAACTGACCAATTACTTCTGGAAGAAACACAGGAAACGTCACCAGAGGTCACCTCTAGGAAAAGGCAGGAGGGAGACTCATTCTGCCCTACATTTCCTCTGAACTCTTTAATTTCTCTGCCATGTGTATGTGCATTATCTTTTCAATACAACATTGTGCAAAGCCTTATGATCTGTGGAAAAGAGCTAAATCTGACTTTTTTTTTTTTTTGAGACTGGAATTTTACTCTTGTTGCCCAGGCTGGAGTGCAATGGTGCAATCTCGGCTCACTGCAACCTACGCCTCCTTGGTTCCAGCAATTCTCCTGCCTCAGCCTCCCAAGCAGCAGGGATTACAAGCGTACGCCACCACGCCTGGCTAATTTTTTGTATTTAGTAGAGACAGGGTTTCACTATGTTGATCAGGCTGGTGGTCTCAAACTTCTAACCTCAGGTGACCCACCCACCTCGACCTCCCAAAGTGCTGGGATTACAGGTGTGAGCCACCGCGCCTGGCCAAACATGAGAACTTTCATATACCAGAAAATATTTAAGAAGTACAACAAATGTTTATTAACATAATGGCAATGCCAGGCTGTCATTTTGAAAATTAAGAATTATGGCAGAGCATGGTGGCTCACACCTATAATCCTAGCACTTTGGGAGGCCAAGATGGGTGGGTCACCTGAGGTCAGGAGTTCAAGACTAGCCTGACTAATTTGGTGAAGCCCCATCTCTACCAAAAAAATAAAAATTAGCAGGGCAAGGTGTCGGGCACCTGTACTCCCAGCTACTTGGGGGGCTGAAGCAGAAGAATCGCTTGAACCCAGGAGACAGAGGTTGCAGTGAGCCAAGATCGAGCCACTGCACTCCATCCTGAGTGACAGAGGGAGACTCATCTCAAAAAAAAATAAATAAATAAATAAAAAGAATATCACAGATTTTAGAAATTAGACAGTTAAAGAGAAAGCTTTGTGAGAGAAATCTCTTCCTGTATACCCATAAACTGCGTTTTTCCCCCTTTTCATTTTATTCCACCTAGACTGGAAGTCCTGTATTATAGAACATAAGAAATCAAGAAAAAGACTAAAGTTAAAGCTGTGGAATAGACCTATTACCAGAATAAAATAATAGGGGTGGGATAAAGGTAGCCTATTGTGTAGGAATTTCCTCTCTAACCTACTGCAGACCACTAAAACAAAGAACAAAATGCCACTGTCCATGTTTTAAAGCAGTTCAGCAGCAATAGCTCCAAGACACTGTACAGCACTGGTGTGCCAAAAGCAGCTGTGAGGTGTGTCCAAGAATTTGTTACGGTAACAGGCAAAGCACAAAGGTTTGGAAATTAATTCTTTTTTAAATATCAAGGTTATACCTCTAATGATCTCACTTTCATCCATGAATATCCTGACAGGTTTTCAGCAACCACTTGTATGAATTCTTCTGTATGTGCTCATGGCTGGGGGCAAGGGGTCTAAGAAGAGTGGGGTTCCATGTACTTCCACTCTTTATCTTAATCTGAAGCAGACTCCTAAGTCAAGAGGGCAAAACAGCCAGAAAAGTTAAGGAGCAAGAACACAGCTATGCCTTATTTCCGTCTTGGGAATCTATAACAGAAATTCAGCAAACTTGCCCTAGGGAAAGAAATCATAGCATTCTGCCAGAACTTTCCTGGATCAATGCCAATCACAATGGTTGATAAGAATGCAGTGAGGATATTGGAGAATAAGGCCAGGTGTGAAGTATGAATAAAGGCAGGGGATACTTTCAACAGGCTGAGGGGAAGGGATGCAGGATTTTCTAGATTATTCAAATATCACTCATTACCAGTTTCCATTGAAGGCAGCATCTTTGTCACTTTTAAGTTTCTTCTTCCTTCCAACCTACCAAGCACAGTGACAACTCTGTTTTAGGCAATTTCTCACTCAGATAAATGTGAATGCTATGAAAAAGTTATACTATTTTGACAAGATATAAAAATAATGACAAGGAAATACTAACTTTGGTTGTTTTAGGACTATAACTCATTACTAATATCTCCCTTTAATGATGTAAATAAAACACCAGTTTAAAAGAATTTTCAAACACACTATCTGACTGAATCTTTACAATAAACCTGGAATGTCAATAAAGCTGGTATTCCCCTCCTTTTACAGCTGACCAAACCCAAGTTTATAGACATTATAATTCACTAGAGATTTACAGACACTTTACCAGATGCCAGCCACTGTGGGAAGATGCCAAAAATCTGCCGAAAACAAAGTCCTTATCAGTAACCATCTCCAAATCCAAAAAGGAGACCCCATGTCAACAACAACCACAACACAAACTATAGAAGCCAGCACTAACCTGTGGAAGCACCCTGTAAGTCAGGTCCACATGTGTGACTGTGACTAAGTAATCACGGACCTACGTTGGCCAAAAGAAGTGTCAGGCTAATCTAGGAGCAGGGAAAGAAGCCAAGAAGCCAGAGCTTCCACCTCCTTGGCTGCCACTCCACTACTCTGCTCCTCTCTGCTGTCTTTTCCCCTTAACAGGTTTTTTTTTTTTTTTTTGGAGACAAGGTCTCACTCTGTCTCCCAGGCTAGAATGCAGTGGCATATAAAGGCTCACAACCTCTTCAAGTGATCCTCCCACCTCAGCCCCTTGACTAGCTAGGACTACAGGCACACACCACCAAGCCCAACCTATTTTTTTTTTTTTTGGTAGAGGCAGGGTCTCCCTTTGTTGCTTAGGCTGGTCTCAAACTCCTGGGCTCAAGCGATCCTCTTGCCTCAGCCTCTAAAAATGCAGAGATTACAGGCCTGGGCCACAAAACCTGGGCTTAATACTTATTTTGTTTACTTCCTTTCTCAGCTTAAGGTACTTTTCCATGTTACATAATCTTATACGTTTACTTATCTATACATCCCCTACATATCTCTAAAATAACAATAGCATAAATGAATTCAATAGATAGGAAACATTTCTTTCATTTAAGTACTTATGTTTTGTCCCACAAATTATGAAGTACTTTGAGGAAAGTATTCAATTATCAATTCCTAGCAAGCACTCAAACACGACTACAAGATAATGAGAAATTGAGGGAATAATGAATACATTGGAGCAGAAATTAGGAGCAATATGTAAAAATATATTTGAAATGTATAGAATCTAAACTGCATATAATATGATTTTCCCTAAAGAGCCTTAACAAACGCAGTACAGTAGATCCTGTCAAATTTCTAAATTAAGTCTGTCAGACCACCTGAGAATCTAATCACCAAAAATTCTCAAATCCATCTATTTCTTTCCTTCTTCTCTTTGAGAGACAGAGCCTCGCTCTATCGCTCAGGCTGCAGTGCTCCAAAGCTCAAGTGATTCTCCTGCCTCAGCCTCCCAAGTAGCTGGAACTACAGGTGCACACCACCTTGCCCAGCTGATTTTATTTTAATACTATAGAGACAGAGTCTTGCTATGTTACCCAGGCTGTTCTGAACTCCTGTCTTCAAGCCACTGTGCCTCCCAAAGTGTTGGGATTACAGGCATGAAGCCACTGTGAACTCAGCCTGTACTTCCATTTTTTAAAAATGTGCCACAAGCCAGGCACAGTGGCTCATGCGTATAATCCCAGCACTTTGGTAGGCAGAGGCAGGTGGATCACCTGAGGTCAGGAGCTGGAGACCAGCCCGGCCAACATGGTGAAACCCCACCTCTACTCAAAAAAACATAAATTAGCTGGGTGTGATGGTGGGCACCTGTAATCCTAGCTACTGGAGGCTGAGGCAGGAGAATCGCATGAACCTGGGAGGCAAAGACTGCAGTGAGCCAAGATTGCACCACTGCACTTCAGCCTGGGCGACTCTGTCTCAAAAAAAAAAAAAAAAAAAAAGATGTGCCACATATCACAACTGCAAGTACATGCTGTTATTATATGTAAAACAAGATCACAACAGCATCTACTTGCCTAAGGTTGATAAGGATTAAATGACTTACTATGTGCTAGCGTGCATATTCATTAGATATTTTGAAAAATACCCCAGACTCAGCAAAATCTATCAATCTAAAACTTACAGTAAGAATAATAAGATCATTGGCTGGGCATAGTAGCTCATGCCTGCAATCCCGGCACTTTGAAAGGCTGAGGCGGATGGATGACCAGCCTGACCAACGTGGAGTAACCCTGTCTCCACTAAAAATACAAAAAATTAGCTAGGTGTGGTGGCCCATGCCTGTAATCCCAGCTACTCAGGAGGCTGAGGCAGGAGAATCATTTGAACCTGGGAGGCAGAGGTTGCCGTGAGCCAAGATTACGCCATTGCACTCCAGCCTGGGCAACATGAGTGAAAACTCCATCTCAAAAAAAAAAAAAAAAAAAAAAAGAGAAAGATTTTAAAATGGATTCTAAAAGCTGAAAATGCATTTAGGTCTCAAAAACAGAGTAAGAATCAATTACATGCTTTTCTTCAAGGACTGCAAGTCCTTCCTGATACCGAAGAAAAACCTAACTCCCTCCCAGGGACAGCCAAAAGGAACATCAGGACACGGGCCTTGACAGGGATAACATCCAAATGGGAAATGCCACCCACCACCTCTGAAGCCAGATTACTCCAGTCTATTTTTGTCGACTAACCATTTATAAGCCTTTTTTTTTTTACTTTAAAAAATTTCATGAAGGGGGCTAACAACTCCTGCGTTATGTGCTTTGCACATATATTAAGGTATTTCAGCCTCATAACAATCCAAAAAGGAAAGCGCTGTTATAACCCCATTTTATAGACAGTAAAACGAGGCACAGGGTGCAGCTCCCGGAGCACCAGGCGCGGGGCACGGGCCCCCAGCTCCCGGGAAGCAGCTGCCTGCGGACGGCGGACACGGTCGCCCCGGCGAAGCCCGGACCCACGGCCTGGAGAAAAGGGCTCGCAGCCCGGGGCAAAAGCGGTCATTCCCCTCCAGATCCCACACCTGGCCAGACGACCTAGTCAAGGCCAGTCCTCGGGGTCAGATCCCACGGGGGGAGCAGCTGGGGGCAAGGAAAGGTCTCCAGAAATTGGGTAGGGGTCCCGGTGTGGGGGTCCAGGCGGGGGTCTCGGGTGCAGCGCCGCCGTATTGGGGTCCTGGGGTGAGGAGTAAGTGTCCCAGGGGTGAGGAGCCACGAGGGGGGTCCCGGGGGTGAAAGTCGGGGGTCCGGAGGGGCAGCGCGGGAGTCCCGGGGTGAAGGGAGGGGTCCCAGGGGTGAGGGACGGAGGTCGTGGGGGGTGAGGGATGGGAGGACTTGGGGGTATCGGGTGGGGTCCCGGGGGTGAAAGTCGGGGGTCCGGAGGGGCAGCGCGGGAGTCCCGGGGTGAAGGGAGGGATCCCAGGGGTGAGGGACGGAGGTCGTGGGGGCTGAGGGGCGGGAGGACTTGGGGGTAACGGGTGGGGTCCCGGGGTGAGGGGCGGGGTCCCGGGGTCGAGGAACGCGGGTCCCGGGTGAGGGGCGGGGTCCGGGACGCCAGCGGCCGCGCGGGGGTCCCGAGTGAGGGAGGGGACCGGCTCACCTTCCGACAACTCCAGCTCCAGCTCAGCCAGGCTCTCCCGCACCTCGGCGGGCAGCGGCGCCCCCTCCAGCGGGAACCCGCGGTCAGCCATGGCCGGGCCGGCTAGCGTCCGGGCGGAGGCTGGAGCCGGACCGGGCCTGGCGGCGGGAGCGCGGACCGCCGCTACGTCGCTGCCCTCAGGCAAACAACCCACGTCCGCCAGGCGAGGAGCGGAAGGCGGCGGGGCAGGGGCGCTGCCGGGGCGGCCACGCACCCGCGCGGGCACGAGCGCGGACGGCTCCTTCGCGCCGCCGCCGCCCCGCGCGCTCCTGAGCGCCCGGCCGGCCCTCCACGGGAGCGCGTGCGCGGCGGGAAGGGCGGGCGGTGAGCGCGCGTGCGCGGTGGGTCTCGGGCCCCGCCTATCCCCCGGGCCCCGCCCAGCAACACCAGAGCCTCGCTCCCATTGGCCCCGAAGACGCGTCGCTGCCGCTTCGGGCCCTCATTGGGAGAGGCGGGAGTGCGCCGCTCCCGATAGGCTCTGCGCGAGGGTGGCGGTCCTGAGGCGGCGGGCTGCCGCGCTGGGGGCCGGCGGCGGCTGCGTGGGGATGGGCTGCCCTTGGGCGTGGGCGCTGGCCGCGGGGTCCCCACGCTGACCCCCGAGGCGCCGGTAGCGGCCCCGCGCGCGGCCTTCCCATCCAGGCCGCCCGTCTCGGGGCTCGTCCTTGGTCCGCGTGGCTTGGCGCGTCCGCGTTGACCGCTGTCTTCACTTTCGGGCTGCGCTGACCGCGAACGCTACGCCGGCCGTGGTGGCGGCGAGGCGCCTTTCTCGTACCTTGACGGTTGTTCACGCCTTTGCTTTAAAATATAGCCCTAGACGGACACGTGGTTGGCCCGGAAGGAGCCCCAGCAGCCACCTCGGACCGTGAGGTGACCTTGGAAGGCGGGAGGACGGACGAGGGGGAGCCTGGGGCCTGGCGGAGCCGCGAGCGCGTGGCGGTGTGTCCGGCGGCGCGGCGGCGGCTGGGGCGGGCCTGAGCGGCGCGGCCGTGAGTGAGGCTGGACTGTCGCCGCTCGGCGAGCCCCAGCAGTTCTGGCTCCGGAGGTCCACACCAGGCCGGCCGGAGCTTGGCGGGACCTCCGCTGCCTTCTGTCCCCGTCCGCGAGCTTCCTTCCCCTTGGTTTCGCGGGGGTGATACCACGTAAACATTGTCGTGCCCGCACTCAGCGCAGCATCTGCTTCTGCAGAAACCGTTCTGCAGCCGTGACAGCTGTGAGACGATGGGATTGGAGGCGGCGTGACTCACCAGCGTGAAGCAGGGGGCGAACTAGTGAAGCGGAATACCCGCGTGGGTAAAGTATCGGACGTTTCATGGTGGTGGACGGAGTCGCTGTGAGGAAGGAAAAGGGGATTGCTTAGTGCCACCGAGTCTCTTAAGAATGGTGGACAGCCGTATGCTTACCTGGCAGGGGAGATACCATGATCGGGAAGGTGGTTTTCCCGGGGCGAGGCTTACATTGCACTCCGGATGTGCTGACCCCTGCCGATTTCCCCAAATGTGGGAAACTCGACTGCATAGTTTGTGGTAGCGGGGGACTGCGTTTACGCTCTCCCCTGATCTCTTTTTAAAGGGGAAAAAAAAAAAGAATGGTGGACAGCCGAAGGCAAGCAGCAAACAGTTGAAAGGCAGTTAGGCTGTCCCGTTCCAGGCAGAGAAGCTTCATTCACTGCCGCAGGACAAAGACAAGAACCAGGCCCAGAAATTGACATCCCTGTTTGACTGAACTCCAAAAATAGCAAAATGCCCAAACAAGGCAATATTCTTCCACCAAGTTTGGAGCCCTTCTAATGAGAGATGAGGCGGAGCCCAGTGGCTCACACCTGTAATCCCAGCACTTTGGGAGTTAGAGGTGGGAGGATTGCTTGAGTCCAGGAGTTCAAGACGGGCTTGGGCAACATGCAAAACCCCGTCTCTACTGGAAACACAAAAAATTAGCCAGGCCTGGTGGTGGCCATGGCTGTGGTCCCAGCTCCTCAGGAGGCTAAGGTGGGTGGATCACCTGAGCTCTGGAAGTCAGGGCTGTAGTGAGCTATGATGTCACCACTGCACTCCAGCCTGGGCAACAGGAGTCAGACCCTATCTTTAAAAAAGAGACAGCAACAAACCCATCATATGTGGGTTGGAGATACCTGGGTAGATGCCTTCAAAAGTTTTGACTCCCCAAACTTCCTTAAACCTTTTTTATTTTTTGGAGACAGTGTCTTACTACTCTGTTGTCCAGGCTGTAGTGCAGTTGCTGAATCATGGCTCATTGCAGCCTCAACTTCTGGGCTCAAACCATCCTCCCATCTTAGCCTCCTAAGTAAGTGGGACTACATGTGTGTTTCACACGCCTGGCTAAATTTTTTATTATTTGTAGAGACAGGGTCTTGTTATGCTGCCCAGGCTTGTCTCAAACTTCTAGGCTCAAGTGAGCCATCCCACCTGGCCTGCTTTGAACCTGAAGTCTACCAGGGTGGCTCACCTCTCCTATGAACCTAGCACTCGTCCTCCTCCCTCCCCCGCCATACTGCATACTAGATGTGGATAATTATGGTGGTTTCTTTTCTATTATTCAGCTGGAAGGAATGAGATAGAAAGAGACTTGCTCCCTCCCCCTCAAAAGAATTGTGTTATTAGTTTGCTAGGGCTTCAGTAACAAATTGGGCAGACATTTATTGTCTCAGAGTTCTGGAGGGTAGGAGTCTGAGATGGAGGTGTTCACAGTGGTGGTTTCTTCTGGGGCTGGGAGGGAGAATCTGTCCTGTGCCTCTGTCCTAGCTTCTGGTGGTTTGCTGGCAGTCCTTGGTGTTCCTTGGCTTACAGACGCATTGCCCCAGTCCTGGCTTTATATTCACATGTTCATCTTGTGTGTGTGTCTGTCCAAATGAAGGCAAAAATAACATGAACAAAGGTCATTAGATGTGGGCCTCTTTTTTTGAGACACAGTTTTGCTCTTGTTGCCCAGGTTGGAGTGCAATGGCCCCATCTTGGCTCACCACAACCTCCGCCTCCCAGGTTCAAGCGATTCTCCTGCCTCAGCCTCCAGAGAAGCTGGGATTACAGGCATGCACCACCATGCCCAGCTAATTTTTTGTATTTTTAGTAGATGGGGTTTCTCTACATTGGTCAGGCTGATCTCAAACTCCTCAACCTCAGGTGATCCACCTGCCTTGGCCTCCCAAAGTGCTGGGATTACAGGCCTGAGCCACCGTGCATGGCCATAGGCCTCTTTTTCTAAGGACAGCAGTCATACTGGATTAGGACCCACCCTAATGAGCACATCTTATCTTTGAAGACACATTTCCAAATAATGTCACATTCACAGGTACGGAGGGTTAGGGCTTCAGCATCTTTTGAGGGGGACACCCTTCAGCCGATAACAAGCTGTAACACCCAGCCAACATGCCCTGATGGGAGCTGGGAAAGTTTAGGACTGGATTATGAGGGTGCTCAATGAAGGGAGCTGGTATGTAAACTTGCGTAGATGTATTTATTTAAATACGCGATTTAACACCTTGGCCAAGACTGGGTGCAGACTTGCTTCAAGGTTGGCTCCTAGAATGGTGGTGTATCTATTGCTACATAACAAATCACTCCACACTTAGTGGCTTAAAACAAGAATCATTTATTGTCTCTAGGTTACTGTGGGTCAGCCACAGTGTGGATTGGTTGTCTCTTCCACAGTGTCTGAGGCCTCAGCTAGAGCAGCTCAGAGGCTGGAGGCTGGAATGGTGTGATTTCATCTGCTCCAATGTCAGACAGCTGATGCTGGAGATTGGCTGCAGCCTAGATTGGACACACTCCTGCATGCCACTCCCTGTGGCTGTGGCTTCCCCACAATACGGTGGCTGATTCCAAGAGCAATCCTAAGGATAAGGGAAAGCTGTATCTTTTGTGAACCAGCCTCAGAAGTTACATACCATCACTTCTGCTACTTCCTATTTGTTAGAAATGAAGTCACTAAATCACCCATATTCAAAGGTAGAGGAATTAGGCTTCACCTTCTAAAAGGAAGAATAAAAAAAGATTGCCGATGTGTTTTTAAAACACCATACTTGGAAAAGGCCATGGACCATGGTAAGCAAAATTGAAATGGCAGAATTGCTGTGGCAGACAGTGGTGAAAGGGGATAAAAGGTTCAGGGGCGTGGGCATGCTGAAATTTATATACTCCATGCACCTGGAAGCCCCTCCAGATGATATTCCACAGGAAGATGTAAATAACACATCATTTACAAAGGTCATTAGACATAGGGTGAAGAAAGGGGCACTGATGTCACTAAATATTCAGTGATCGCTCATCTCTGTAGGTAAGAATGACAATAGAAAGGCTGTTCCAGAACTTGGCTGGGTGATGATGATGATGATGGGATCCTAAAACAAAAGAAGCCATTCTGGGACATAATGGGGACAACAACAAAACCGAAGAAGCCAAAGGTAACACTTAACTGACAGAAGTCAGAGGATTGCAGTTACAGTAGTCAGCAGGGTCTGAGCAGCAGCCAAGGGGGCCTCACTTGTAAGGTTATAGAACAGGTTAATAAACATGGCATCCCTGGAGGCAAAATAGATAGGCAACTAGGAAGAGTACTATACAGCTGGGAAAAACAAAACAAAACAAAACAAAACAGAAAAACAGGGACGGTAACCTGTGCCTGTAATCTCAGCATTTTGGGAAGCTGAGGTGAAGGGATCACTTGAGCCCAGGAATTCAAGGTTACAATGAGCTGTGGTTGCACCACTGCACTCCAACCCGGGCAGCACAGCAAGACTATCTCAAAAAACTAAATTTAAAAATGAAGATGCTTATCCCAGTTTAAAAAAATCAGGATTTCGCTGGGCGCAGTGGCTCAAGCCTGTAATCCCAGCACTTTGGGAGGCCGAGGCGGGTGGATCACGAGGTCAAGAGATCGAGACCATCCTGGTCAACATGGTGAAACCCCGTCTCTACTAAAAATACAAAAATTAGCTGGGCATGGTGGCACATGCCTGTAATCCCAGCTACTGAGGAGGCTGAGGCAGGAGAATTGCCTGAGCCCAGGAGGCGGAGGTTGCGGTGAGCCGAGATCGCGCCATTGCACTCCATCCTGGGTAACGAGCGAAACTCCGTCTCAAAAAAAAAAATCAGGATTTCATGGCCAGTTTCTAGAACTGAGCCAGTTTTCAGAAGTGGAAACGTTACTGAAGAGGTGGCCAAATACCAAGGAGGACCTGTGGCAGTACAAGTGTACACAGAAATGAAGCTCAGGTACTTTTCTAAAGGGTCCGATAGCCATTTCTTTTGATAACTACATCTTGGAGAAAAGTGATTAGCCAAATGTTTTGAAGACTTGTGGATGCGGGGTCTCAACTGGCATCCCGACACCTAGAGTATCCCCTTCTGTCAGAGTAGCTGCATATGGTGGCCAGGTAATTGATGGAGTCCTGCTCAAGGTCCGGTTTGCAGTAGGCCCATACACATACAGGACTGACTTAGTGATCATTTTCTTAGACTTCGAGTGAGTAATTCGCACTAACATACTTGGCAGTTAATGCTCATTCCAGGTCCCTGACTATAGATAGAGATAACAAAATGTAAAAGGCCAAACAGAAACCTGAAACTGCCCCATCCCCTAACAAGATCATAAAACAATTATCACATCCAAGAGCAAGAATGGCAGAGGTAAGTGTCACTTCTAAGAATCCAACTGATGCAAAGTGGTGGTTAACAGCACCCCTTCTTAGTTTTATCTCTGTTTTTAGACTGAGTGCCAGTCAGGCTCAACCTTTCATCTTTACTTCTTGCCTATCCCGTTTTCCAAAGGCTTGCTCTTCTTTTCCTGAAGGAGGGTTCTAACTATGTCCCTTGCCCTTTTGGAGGTGTCTCTCACTTCTCTTTCTTTTGCTTTGTTCTCTCCTGCCCCTAGGCCATATGAAACGATCACAGATCTTGCAGAGGAACCATCTACAAGGGAACTTAGGCATGCACACTCACACTTAACCTCTAGAATTCTGACCACCAAGGAAGTACTTTTTCACTCTTTTGTGACGTTTCCTACCTTAGTCTGTGCACAGTTTGAAGCCTTTTTCCCTGCGTTGCTGAGAGACCTGGTTGATTTATTCCTCGCACCAGGTGGGTGCACTAGATGGAAAACCTAACCGTAAGGCACCAATGACCATGCAGCCAGAACTGCCCATTATGTGTTAAAACTACCAAGTCATAAAATCACTTAGGCCCAACAACAGTCCCTTTTAATATGGAAGTAGTGTATTCAAGATTAAGCATGAGAGTGTACCGAGGTTACCAATCGAGCTGCAGAGCTCAGATGCACGTGACTTCAGTGCTGTTTTATCAGCCGCACTGTCATTTCACACCTGTGACCATGGTGGGCGGGGGCGCCCTTATAACCAGTTGCCGGGAGTAAAAAGTGTGAGCATGGTGCCTAAATGGGTCAGCTCGGTATGAGTTTAAAATGAAAATAGCTACGTTACAGCCTCCTCAGGTGTGACCTTGAAAAATGGTGATAAGGGCATATCCTCTCAATTGGCAGAATTTCAGGCAGAGCTAGTCACCTTTTTGCGGAAGAAGTGGCCCAAGGTGAAAATATACATGGGATCATGGACAGCGCTAGATGGACTGGGGACTGGCTGAGGGCCTGGAAAGAAAACAGTTGGAAGTTGGAGACGAGGAGGTTTGTGGTAGATTTATCTGGACAGATAGATTGGAATAGCCACAAAGTATGATGGTCTTTGTAGACAATGCCCACCAGAGGGCATCCATGAAAGAAGCATTGTGCAACCAAGTGGACAGCTGACTCAGCCAGCTGACAATGGAAAGCATCTCTCATTGGCTACTGCAGTACTGGCAGGATGGGCACATGGGCAAAGCAGCCAAGGTGATGGAGCTGGAGACTGTTCATGGGCCTAACAGCGTGGGTTCTCTAGCCAAAGCTGATCTAGCCAGCTTATTTAGCTGCCCCTAAGTATCTAACCTGCCAGCAAAAGAGACAGTGCTAAACTCCCTGTGTGGGTCTTTTCATCAAGGAGCACAAACATCCAGGTTTACGGAAGTCATTAGACATAGTCCCCATTTTACAAGGAGAGTTTACTGTATTGGAACTCTCCCATCCTGGAAGGGCTGGTGGTTCATTTTTCACGAAAATAGACTCATATTCCAAATACAGGCTTGTTTTTCCTACTCTCAAGTGTCAGCCAGCAACGCTTAAGGAGTGTTTGTTTCACTGACAACCACATAACATTGCAGACAGGATTCACTTTACAGCCAAGGATGTGTAGTGTCCATGGGACCCCCTGCCTGGCAGAGCGCCAAAACAGCTTACTGAAGGCACAGCTGAACCGTCGAGCTGGGGGAGGGGGGCAATATGCTGCGAAGGTGGGGTGCCATTCTCCAGGATATGTCACATTCAAGACCGTCCAATAGTACTGAGGAGTGGAAACAGGAGTGGCCCCACCTGCCTTCACTCCCAGTGATTCACTAGGGAATGTTGTGCTTCTTGTCCTCCGAAGTTGAGACTGCACGGTTAGACGTCCTGGTCCCCCAGTGGGACACTCACCAGCGAACACACTAGGTGGTCCACTGGGCTGCAAACTGGATGTCACTTTGGCAGGTGGATTGCTCGAACCCAGGAATTTAAAACCAGCCTGGGCAACAATGAAAACCTTGTCTACCCGCCCCCCCCCCCAAAAAAAAAGCCAGTCATAGTGGCATGCACCTGTAGTGCCAGCTACTTGGGAGGCTGAGGGAGGAGGATCACTTGAACCAGGGAGATCCAGGCTGCAGTAAGCCGTGACCAAGCCACTGCCCTCTAGCCTGGGAGACAGAGACCCTGTCTCAGTTAAAAAAAAAAAAAAAAAAAAAAAAAAAAAAAAAAAAAAACTATGGATATGTGAAAACTTTGGGATCCTTTTAATAGAAGCCAGCAGGCCAACAGTGGAGTCACTGTCTTTGTAGTGGAGGAGGAAGCAGGGCTGCTGTTGGGTTCATTATACAATGGAGAAGAACAGGTGTGAAACCCAGGTAGTCAGCATGGGTGCATCTTGGTACTCCTCTAGCCAACTGACTAAGAAACTGGAGTCCAACTTGTACATGTAAAGACAGGGTCTGCCTCTTAGTTCCCAAACCCTGCAGTCTGGCTGTGAGTGAGGGAGTGAGCATAATATATGTGCTACTGGTTTAAGACATGCACTGTAAAACATCACCTCAAACTTGTCAGATGTGATTTCCAGGCTGATGGAGACAACAGCCTTCATCTGGCCACTCCACCCTTCTGTCAGGGCAGTTGCTTCTGGCTGATGAGGCCAGTGAATCCTGAGTATGTGTGAGGTCATTTCCTGCACTTACGTTGCTTTAAGATATACCTGCTGCTTTTTTTTTTTTTTTTTTTTTTTTTTTAATGAGACGGAATCTCACACTGTCACCCAGGCTGGAGTGCAATGGCGCAATCTCGGCTCATTGCAATCTCAGCCTCCCAAGTAGCTGGGACTACAGGCATGTGCCACCAAACCCAGCTATTTTTTTTTTTTTTTTTTGGATTTTTAGTAGAGATGGGGTTTCACCATGTTGGCCAGGATGGTCTCGATCTCCTGACCTCGTGATCTGCCCGCCTTGATGTCCCAAAGTGCTGGAATTAGTAGGCGTGAGCCACTGTGCCCAGCCTTTTTTTTTTTTTTGAGACGGAGTTTCGCTCGTTACCCAGGCTGGAGTGCAATGGCGCGATCTCGGCTCACCACAACCTCCGCCTCCTGGGTTCAGGCAATTCTCCTGCCTCAGCCTCCTGAGTAGCTGGGATTACAGGCACGCACCACCATGCTCAGCTAATTTTTTGTATTTTTAGTAGAGACGGGGTTTCACCATGTTGACCAGGACGGTCTCGATCTCTTGACCTCGTGATCCACCCGCCTCGGCCTCCCAAAGTGCTGGGATTACAGACTTGAGCCACCATGCCCGGCCCTTTTTTATTTTTTTTTTAATTTGAGATGGAGTCTCACTCTGTTGTGCAGGCTGGAATGCAGTGGTGCGATCTCAGCTCACTGCAACCTCCACTTCCCAGGTTCAAGTGATTCTCCTGCCTCAGCCTCCCAAGTAGCTGGGACTACAGGCATGTGCCACCATGCCTGGCTAATTTTTTGTATTTTTAGTAGAGACGGGTTCTCACCATGTTAGCCAAGATGGTCTTTATCTCCTGACCTCGTGATACATCTGCCTTGACCTCCCAAAGTACTGGGATTACAGGTGTGAGCCACTGTGCCCAGCCAAGATATACCTGCTTTAAAGAGCCAATGTTGTGCAGAACTACAGCAATGGATAAAGCATGTGAGTCCAGGGCCAGGCGCGGTGGCTCACGCCTGTAATCCCAGCACTTTGGGAGGCTGAGGCGGGTGGATCACGAGGTCAAGAGATCGAGACCATCCTGGTCAACATTGTGAAACCCCGTCTCTACTAAAAATACAAAAAATTAGCCGGGTGCGGTGGCGCGTGCCTGTAATCCCAGCTACTCAGGAGGCTGAGGCAGGAGAATTGCCCAGGAGGCGGAGGTTGCGGTGAGCCGAGATCGCGCCATTGCACTCCAGCCTGGGTAACAAGAGCAGAACTCCATCTCAAAAAAAAAAAAAAAAAAAAAAAAAAAAAAACCATGCGAGTCCAGTAATGGTGGCATTGGCAGATAAACTGAGGAGAGGGAAGCCGATTTGTGCCTGGGGCTTGCCTTTATTCCTGGAGGACAAATCACTGCCTTTTCCACAATGGATGGAACCAGGTTGCCATGTGAAGGTCTCAGCACTGGGCTCTGCTGTTGGCAGTTCAGGCACTCAGGAAGCGGCAGAAGCCAGGGAAGTCTTGGTGAAGAGAAATGTATATTTTTAAACCAGTGTTAAGCCTCCTTCCCTGCCACTGGTTATACGAGCTCACTCAGCATCATGTTGGCTAAAGAAAGAGGCTGACAGACATTCACAGGACAGGTCATTTTGTCCACCAAATTTCCTTTCTACGGTGGATGGCCTCTGGTGGGCATTTATGTGGAACTAATACCTTCCCTTTGCCCATTCTGGGAAGTCTATCTGCATACCTGTCCTCAAGACTTCTGTTGTTTTATCTTGAGACAGGTTCTCAGCTCTGTCACCCAGACTGGAGTGGCATGATCATGGCTTACTGCAGCCTTAACCTTCTGGGCTCAAGCAATCCTGCCTCAACCTCCTGAGTAGCTGAGACCACAGGGTCATGCTACCATGTCCAGCTAGTTTTTGTTCTTTACAGAGACAGAACTCCTGGGCTCAAGTGATCCTCCCACCTCAGCCTCCCAAAGGCATCAACCACTGAGCCCGGCACTGGAGATTTCCTTGAAACCATCGTTGCAATCTTTTTCTGTTATCAACCAGCTGCACAGTCAGTAACCCACTGCACAGGAATGCTTGTGGATGAGTAAACTCAGATGCCTCTTTCCATATAAGATGGACCACCAGCTATACCCTCCCAAGTTTTGCCAGCTGGAAATCTTCCAAATTCCAATCCTAAACTAGGTTGTAGCACCTTTTTTTTAGGGTGGCACCTTTTTTTTTTTTTGACAGAAGTCTGCTCCATTGCCAGGCTAGAGTGTAGTGGTACGATCTTGGCTCACTAAAACCTCCACCTCCTGGATTCAAGCAATTCCCCTGCCTCACCCTCCTGAATAGCTGGGACTACAGGCACACACCACCATGCCTAATTTTTTATATTTTAGTAGAGACAGGGTTTCATCATGTTGACCAGGATAGTCTTGATCTCCTGACCTTGTAATCTACCCGCTTTGGACTCCCAAAGTGCTGGGATTACAGGCATGAGCCACTAGTGTAGCACCTGTTTATGGTTCATGCCACCATACTGTATGGATCCATTGGTAAAACAAACCTGCATTTTTTCCTCTTCTGTCAGCTGTTCATAGGGAGCGTCCTGTGAAACCAAAGATGTGAACTAAAGGAGAATGTGAAGTAGAAAAGGTGGCATCAACCAGGCACGCTGGCTCATGCCTGTAATCCCAGCACTTTGGGAGGCTGAGGTAGGCGGATTACGAGGTCAGGGGTTTGAGACCACCAGACTGACCAACATGGTGAAACCTGGTCTCTACTTAAAAATACAAA